GATTCCCATTCTTCTCAGAGTCAGCCCAGTTTGTTACGATCCACACAGTCAAACGCCTTTGCATAATCAATGAAACTTAGATAGACATTCTTCTGGTATTCCCTGCTTTCAGCCAAGATCCTTCTAATATTAGCCACAATATCCCTAATACCACAACCCCATCTAAACCCAGCCTGCACTTCTGGTAGTTCTCTGTTTATATGCTGTTCCATTCGTTGTTTTTTTATCTTCAGCAGAATCTTGCTTGCATGTGATATCAGTTATATTGTTTCATAATTTCCACACTCTGTTGGATCACCTTTCTTTGGAATGGGAAAAAATATAGATCTCTTCCAGTCAGTTGGCCAAGTGGTTGTTCTCCAGATTTCTTGACACAACTTCGTGAACACATCCAGGGCAGCATCTGTTAGTTGAAATGTGTCAATTGGTATACCATCAATTTCTGGGCCCTTATTTTTTGCCAATTCCTTCAAAGCAGCTTGAACTTCTTCCTTCATCACCATAGACTATTTCTCATATGTTGTTTCATGAAATTCTTCTGTGTCTGCCAAATTCTTTCGGTACAGTGACTCTGTATATTCTTTCCATCTTTTGAATCAGTCATATTTTCCATTATAGCTGAAATGACAAAGGAATGGTGTTGCATTCTTAAACAAGAAGACTGTTTCATGTTATATCCTGAAGTATAATACTGTGAGTGATAGGATATTATCCATATTCATATGGAGAGAGCAGTTAATACAATTATTCAAATATATGCACCAACTACTAATGCCAAAGATTAGCACATTGCCACAAATGATGGCTATAGCAAAAAAAAAGAAAAAGTGTTTCTAAGCACAGTTGTCAGTTTAAAAGTATGTGGCAACGTGTTAGGAAAGTGAGGAATTCTCCCAACTTTCATGGTCTGAAACTGACTGAACAACTAACCAAGCTACAATAATAATTGGTGACTGGAATACAAAAGTAAGAAACAAAGAAAAAGGAATAGTAATTGAAAAATGTTACTATAATGACAGAAATGAGGCTAGAAATCAAATTATAGAACTTCATACAATCAATCATTTATTCATTCCTATACTTCTTTTATAAAAAAACATAAATGGTGACTATACAGCCATATGGAGAATTTAAGGAACTGTTTCAGAGGATTGTGGAAGACTAACAAGTCTCAAATTCCTATATTGAGTGATTGGATATTCCTCCAGGCTTGCAATCCAAATTCCACAGGCTGGATGACAGGGACAGTGAAGAGAGAAGAAATTCTAACAGAATATCTGTTATAGTCTGGAAGCAGAAACCACCCCAAGGAAAACTCCTCTTTTTCCTAATTTGATGGGGGCTTGTTCATATTGTGAAAGAGAATATGCTGTACTTGTTGTTGTTGTTATGTGCCGTCGAGTCACTTGCGACTCATAGCAACCCTATGTACAACAGCCCTAAACCCTGCTCTATCCTGTGCCAATCTCATTGCCTCTGACACACCCATCCCGATTACCCCAGTC